CGCGAAATATGCTTTTATTGGTTGAAAACTCAAATATTATTTTTTTTCCTGTTAACAGAGTAATGTATACAATGGATGACCGGAAATGAATAGCCCATCAAGTTCTTCACTTTCCTCTGCATACACATTTTCCATTTTCATTGCGCCGCTTCGGCGACATGTTATGATTCGATGGGATAAATGCATATTCTCCCAAACATGTCCATAATTATAAACTGCAGTTTTACAGGAATTATTGCAACACAAAATGCGTCAAAGGCGTTAAAATCGGGTCGGTACTTCAAAAATTAAATATAAAACTAATCATTTCATTCAATTAAACCTGCACCTTTTAATATTCAAACGTCGCTAAAATTTCTCGACGTGTTTCACTTCATTTTAAAATGGTTTATCTTTCCTAAGATGTAAATATAATGAAGTATTAAAAGACACTTTATGTCTTAAGGTGAAGTGAAACACGTCGAGGAACTTGAACGACGTCGGTAAAGAAGATTTTTCTAAATACCTACATTGTCGACGTTCGTTTTTATATTCACAGTTCTGTCGAATTATATTGGGTATTGCACTAAATGACATACTCCACCTGTAATTTTCTTACAATAATTATAATGAAATCGAAGTAAAACTCCAGAAATCCTCTGGATTCATGGTTTCCGAGGCCCTAATTGACTACGGAGGGACACCCTGCGCCATCTATGATTTCCGTGTCAACTAAATTTTCTCTCAGAGACCTCATATTACCATCATTTTAGCATAGCAGCGAATAAGACATTTTGTTTTACCTTTATCCCGTTCAAATGCGAGTTTATCAATTATCAGAGTGTTCTAAATCGTCGTAAAATTGTCCCGACCCTTTCGTTTCTCATATTAGAGCCTTCAATAACTGATTATCGATCGAAATACGAAGGCTCATCGCCATTTTTGTTCTGGTCAGGGCTAAATTACATTCGCGACCGCTGACGTCAATTCACGTCCTTTCAAGTTCTATTCCTGGATGCCGCTGACGTGAATTCACGTCATTTTAAATTCTATTCCTGGTTACCGCTGACGTGAATTCACGTCATTTTAAATTCTATTCCTGATTGCCGCTGACGTGAATTCACGTCATTTTAAATTCTATTCCTGATTGCCGCTGACGTGAATCACGTCCATGACGATACACCATATAAGTTTGCGGCAACCAGTTTCAGAATTTCATTTTTTTTCGCTGGTACTCAGTATTTGAAATAGAAAAAAATTGCCGGTCGAGAATGTGTTGAAACATTTTTTTTCAAAATTGAAAATTTTGAAAATGTCAGGATAATTTCTAGGACGCCACTATGTGCCAAAGTTTCAGACGATTCGATTCAACACCCTTAACACTAGGTTCACGGGCGTTTTATATATACCTGTTTCTACGAGCATCCGTCAAATTGACGGGTAAACGAAAACACGCATTTTCATTAAAAAATCGATTTATTCAAATTAAGTCCAAATTAAACAACCCTAGACTTTACGTTTAAATGAATGATTAATAAGTAAAAAGTCCTTTTTTAAAAATGATCACGGAAACGATTGGAATGCTCGTCCTCTCATCCTCGGAGTCAGAACTAGAAAGAATGCGCATCCTTTTCTTGCTACGACACCCTTTCAAGAAGTTTTCCTCTTCCCTATCCGAAGATCCTTCTATCTTTCCACTTTCAATGCAAACTTTCACTCTCATCTTCGTCTTACCCTCTCTGCAACGAAGCAAATATATATGGATTGTTTATGAAATTAGCTAGTCCGTCAATTTGACGGGTTTCGTAGTGATAGGTATACTACGTACAGATTTTAATAATTAGAAGGCTTAGGAAAAAATAATTGCGTGTACAAATTCTTTGAGTGAAATGATTAATTTACGATACAAAAATGATTAATATTAATGCTATGGTTTCTTCGGTATTTCTTTTCGAAGTTTGAATTCCGTTAAATTGACGGATCCCGTAAACCTAGTGTTAAAAAAAAATGTCTCATTCTAATCGACTGATTTGAGGAGGGTTTCACTTCATCTTAACATTTTTCAGCGTTATTGGAAAATTGCAACGTAATATTTCTGCGCTTAATGTCATAATTTCAATTTTTAATGAAAATGGTGAGACTAGGAGAACCGCGTTCTACCTGGTTTGTAATGGTCTTGGGGATGTTAATTGACATGCAAATTAACTCGTCATCAAGCGAGTAACAGTACCACGTAGGCGTATGACCCGCTTGTATCATTTCGTGCTGAGTGCACACACATTAATGCATATGTGCGAAGTACTAGAGCTGCAAGTGTGGTGAGCTGTAACTGTCATTATCAGTGTCACTATCATCTGATTCGGTGAAAATTATACCACTGAACGTCGTATACAAATGCTACAAATTTCCAACCGAATGGAATAAAGCGAACAAATTAAAGTATCAAATTTTTTTAATATTATATCCTACTGAACATCAAACCTTACAGTTACGTAACTTAAAACGAATAAATAACATAACGTTTGTTACAATGTGATAACCTAACAATTACGTAACTTAAAACTAACAAATAACATAACGTTTGTTACAATGTAATAACCTAACAGTTACGTAACTTAAAACTAACAAATAACATAACGTTTGTTACAATATAATAACCTAGCAGTTACGTAACATAGAGGTAACTAGTTACATGACATTTGTTACAATGCAGGAACTTAACAGTTATGTAACATGGAGCTAACAGGTTACATAACGTTTGTTACTATCATATCTACACAAATGTAGCGTAACTTTGTTACTCTTATCTTACATTATGTTACTGTCCTGACATTACTGTGTATATGCAGCACATATTTGTAACAAAACAGAACTACATTGGTGCTAACTGTCATTTATTTTATTACATCATCATCATCGTCAAATGTCAGAAGATTAATATATGTCATATTTTGTTTACTACTCGTATGAAAAAATGTGACTTTAATTCGTACGCGCATATACATCATCAGTAATTGTTTGCTAGTCGAATGAAATTATAATAGACTTTAAGTAAAATCGGATAGTTTATCATTACATAATTTCATTGAAAATCTGATTTGTCATTTAATATCTAACTATTATCAAGTACCAAAAAATAATTGAAAATAGAAATTATATCATTTTGGATAAAATTGCGTGATTCGTTTTATAAAATATACGGAAAATTTCAAGGTAACTGAAATTATGACATTAATGTAACATGTTATATAACATGTTACTTTACTGACATAATAACTGACATCTAACTTCCATGTTACTTTTATGCTACATAACATGTTAGTTTCGTAAACGAAACGTTTACGTTTCGAAAACGTAACATTAATCCAATAGTTATATAACAGTGTTCACTGGGATGTAATTTATTGTATTGAGTTAAAAAAAAAAAGTTTTTCAATAGCAACCGTCAAATCAGCTATTATAGAAGCTCAAGATAGGAAAAATAGAATAATTCTTATAGTGGAAAAAAATGCCGTTGACCCAAAGAAATATTTCTTTGAATAGCACCAACGAAATATTTTATTAATTCAAAGAATAATTATTTTGACTTAAATAAATTCCAATATATTGAATGCAACGTTTATATTTCTTTATGTTACTTTACATTTTTCTTTTTACTTTATACTTTACGTAATTCTTTAAAATAACTCGTAAGTGATTGTAACGTTAAGTGATTTAAAAAATTGAGGCGTTTAAAAAAGATTTATTTTCCTGTTCCCTCTTACACTTTTCTGTTAATTAAACTAAATACTCGGTTTCTGTTAAAAAATAAATCTGCATTTGCATAATAGCACAGTAGCGGTGATGATTAATAAAAAATTCTGACTTTGGGGCGTTTAAAAAAGATTTGCTTCTCTGTTCCCCCTTACACTTTTCTGTTAATTAAACTAAATACATGGTTTCTGTTAAAAAATACATCTGCAAATGCATAATGGCAAAGTGGCGATAATGATTAATAAAAAATTTCGACTTTGGGGCGTTTAAAAAAGATTTGCTTTCCTGTTTCCTCTTGCACTTTTCTGTTAATTAAACCAAATACCCGGTTTTTGTTAAAAAATAAATCTGCAATTGCATAATGGCAAAGTGGCGATAATGATTAATAAAAAATTCCTACTTTGGGGCGTTTAAAAAAGATTTGCTTTCCTGTTTCCTGTTGCACTTTTCTGTTAATTAAACTAAATACACGGTTTTTGTTAAAAATTAATAAGGAATTCAAAGGACGTCAGGCAGAAAATGTTAATTCCAGGCTAACAAGCGGCAGATTATAATTCACAAAGGATTTAATCAGGGTGTACAGTCAAAGAACTGGAATCATGGTGATTGAAGTTCAACGCTTAAGAAGTACTTAATCCCTCGAGTTTGCCTCTCATTTGTGCCGTCTAATTGAAGACCAACTAAAACGAAAAATTATTTGCGCGTCGCATGATACCCCTTGATTAAAGTACACCCACGATAAGAAAACGAAAACCAAGTTACCTTGAAAGTCGAAGTTCTTATACAAATTCTAGTCACATTACTTCCGTAAAATGAAAATAAATTATTGCGAGTCATTTACAAGTCATTCCATATTTACTTCAAGATGCAATGAGACGTTACATATTACTATAAAATTATTCAGTGTAACTGTGATACCGAGAGTAAAAAGTGCCTTAAACCCGATCTAATTTTTTAAATTTCCAGAATTATCGTAACGCTGCATATTACGCCCGTAGAGAAAACATTAATTTATAATGACGTTACTTTGTATAAAGAGCATTTATTTCTAATGACGGTCATGAACAATGTATATATTGAATAGAATGACCTCTGATTTTCTGATCTTTTAGCAGCCTCAAGGAATATGAAGATTTAAATAAACAATTAATTCAATGTTTTAATTATTTCCAAGGAAATAAGTTCATAGTGGGACTTTTTGAAATACAATAACATTAATTTTATTGTTCCAGAGATAAATTTATATATTTTTTTCACTTATGTTACAGCTCAGCTACGCGGACACTCATCCCATGTTCACCAGCGACAGTTTTCCAAACTTCTTCCGGGTGGTACCGTCCGAAAATGCATTTAATGCACCCCGAGTAGCTTTGCTGATGCACTTCAATTGGACCAGAGTCGGTACCATATATCAAAATGAGCCCAGATATGCTCTGGTAAGTACTACCACTGTTAAACATGGTTTACTCCATTAATAGTTAGTATGTAAAATAGTTAGAGCCTGACAAGAACACGATCTTTTCAACGTAAAACATTCGACAACAGTAATTTAATTACATTGTCCTTTGTACTGATATATATATTAACATTCATATAGTTGAAGAAAGTGAAGTTTCGACAGAGATAAAAGAAAAGCGCTTCTAATGTCACTAAAACACTAAATACTTAAATATTTCTCTTTACCTTGTTTGAATAACATACGTAAAATAAATGCATATCATTGCTGTATTGTTAATACAAACGCCAATTGCATGTGCTGTTTCATGAATATTTAGACAAAGTCGAATTAAGANGTATTATCTAATGAAAACATTCATATTATCCAATGAAAATATTGGTATTATCTAATGAAAACATTCATATTATCCAATGAAAATATTGGTATTATCTAATGAGAACATTGATATTATCTAACGAAAACATTAATATTATCTAATGAAAACATTGATATTATGTAATGAAAATATTTGTATTATCTAATGAAAACATTCATATTATCTAATGAAAATATTGGTATTATCTAATGAAAACATTGATATTATTTAATGAAAACATTCATATTATCTAATGGAAATATTGGTATTATCTAATGAAAACATTCATATTGTCGAATGAAAATATTGATATTATCTAATGAAAACATTTTACATTATTACGTGACAACAGTAAACCGTTGAATGGAGGAATCTGACAATAGGTTTGTTCGTTTTGCCTACACTTTCTACACTTTTACGAAAAGTGTACCCTTTGGCTTTCGTTTTAACGGAAGGGACGCAGACGCCACTGTTCGTTTTGTGATGGCATCTACCCCGAGGGTACACTTTCTCTACACTTTCTACCCTCGATCCCGAGCAAGGGCAAGAAGGGTAGCCCGCGAATTTGGCGGCAAATTTAAAAATTGAAAAGATCAACAAACAGGAAAATACAAAATTTATGCTAATGTCTCAACGTAATATAAACAGAAGTAATTATTAATGCATCTTCTTCGTGTATAGAACGATTTAGCGTTTTAGTTTTGTACGTAACGTTTAACTGCAATAATCTCTTTCACTAGCGCTAAGTAAAGGCGTAAACACAGGTAATTAATATACATAGAATACGTGGTTCTACCTTCGAAGGTGCGTACTTCCTCGGGCCGGTATAACAATTAATCTTGCATTTCCTAGAGTCCGCATGATATATTCACATTCTCGACAGCTCGGAAGACACATGCGGTACATAGTACATAGTGCGTACATCTATTCGTACATGACATAATCAAGCATTGCTCTGTAAAGCATGGGAATTTCCTCCGAGGTAATTTCGATGCACTTGGGACAGTTTAAGGTGAAGTGAAACCCCCCCGTCAAATCAGTCGATCCGAATACAACACTTTTTTTTAAGGGTATTGGACCAAACTGTCCGAAACTTTGACACATCACTCCTGATCATCTAAGAATTGTCTTGACACAATAAAATTTTGGATTTTTTAAAACAATTTTTTAACTCACTCCAGAGCAGAACCAAAATGGCGTCGAGCTCTCATATTTCGAACGATATACAATTATTTAAGGCTCTAATATGAGAAATGAAAGGATCAGGACAATTTTACGACAATTTAGAACACTCTGGTAGTGGATAAAAAATTTTTGGATTTTATAAAACAATTTTTTAACTCAGTCCAGAGCAGAACCAACAGAGCGTCGAGCTCTCATTTTTGATATATATGATAAAGTAAGCGTGCGTCACACATACAGAGAGATGTAAAAGACTTCAACAAAATGACAATGACAGGATCATGACAATATCATACGATGAAAAATGATTCACTTCAATCTGTACAGAAATACGGTATAATTATAATAAAGTTACATGAAACATGTAAGGATAAAGTTAGCGTGTTTCGAACATACAGAACATGCAAAAGGCTTCAACAAAGTGACAATGACAGGGTCGTGTCGATATCATACAATGAAAAATTATTCACTCCTATCATCTGTACAGAAATACGGTATATTTATAATAAAGTTACATAAAACTTGTTACGATAAAGTTAGCGTGCTTCGAACATGCAGAACATGCAAAAAGCTTCAACAAAGTTACAATGACAGGGTCGTGTCGATATCATACAATGAAGAATGATTCACTCCGATCTATACAGTACTACAATATAATTCATCGATCAAACGAACTTACCAAGTGACGTTCGATCGCAATTATAATTAAGTTACCTAAAACATGTAATGATAAAATTACCGTGCGTCAAACATACAAAGAGATGTAAAAGACTTCAACAAAGTGACAATGACAGGGTCGTGTCTACATTAGACGCGATTAACACACTACGAAGCGGATAAACCGGGGACGTCCGCCATATTGTTTGCAGTCTGCAGTCTCTACTTTGGGAAGTAATAAAAGTTTCGCTCGTCAGGCGAAAGAGGGAAAAACAGGAGAAAAGTGGAAGGAGAGGGACCGAGGAAAAAAACAAGTAGATGCAATGTAAATAAGTTTTCGTGTCAAGTGGAAACAAAGTTCTCGAAAATTGGCTGTTCCCTCAATCTTCATCCCTTATACTTGTCTCGGAATTCTTAAGTCTCCTTCCGCTTTCCCTCTTCCATTTTCAGGGACATTTCTTTTTCCTCCTCGTCTCTCTTGGCGTGGGCAAATGACTGCTCTTTGCTTGCCCTCTTATCCATATTCATTCTCCCATTTTCTCAAAGCTGGGGAACAAAAGGAAACATTTACAAGAAATTACCACGCGGCTCGTACACTATTTCCGGCATGGCGCTCGCCATTTTGCAATTAGCGTAATTTAGTTCTTCGGTTTCAGGGATGCTTTTACCATAAGCCTGGAATAATGAAAGTCAGAGACCTTGCTCTGTATTTTTTTAACCGTGATTGGACGTTCAAATGATGTTTAGGATAACCAATTGAAAGTCGTAGGTAAATTTTCTTTATATTGAATTGTGGTTCGCGTAAATACAAATTATTTTTTAATGGCCCGAACTTGATGAAACATTTCATCCAAGTTAATACAGTTATAGAATGCAACGTCTCGGGTAAATAATCTGTGTACAATCAAATAATATTAATATTTTAACATATTTCCGCATTTTACCAGTATCCCCCTTCAATTTCCGCGTTTCCAACAAATAACCTAATCAAATAATGTTTACTTTTTAACAATCATGTTTTTGCATTTCACCAGCATTTGCCTTTCAATTACCGCGTTTCCAACAAATAACCTAATGAAATAATATTTATATTTTAACAGTCATATTTCTGCATTTTCCCAGCATCTGCCTTTCAATTAACGCGTTTCCAACAAATAACCTAATCAAATAATATGCATATGCTGTTTCATGAATATTCAAGCAGCCGAATTAAGACTGTTCTAATTATTTTCCAATACTCCTTGGTAATCGACTTTCCCAGTAGAACGATATTAAATTAATTAGTTATTTGATGGAACATTCCGAGCATCGATAACGGATAATTAACCAACCCATTACGTAAAAAATCTGTTGTTATGAGTTTTAAATAATTTTAATTACTATTTCTGATAAAATAGAAGATCCNTTTATTTTTAATTATTTTTTGGAACTTGACAATAATTAAATATTAAATGACAAATCAGACTTTCAATGAAATTGTGTAATAATAAACTATCCGACTTTACTTAAAGACAATTAGGATTTCATTCGACTAGCAAACAATTACTGATAATGTATATGCGCGTACGAATTAAAATCGCATTTTTTCATACGAGTAGTAAACAAAATACGACATATATTAATCTTATAACATTGGACGATGAATTATGACAACGACGATGACAATGATGTAATAAAATGACAGTTAGCACCAATGTAGTTCCGTTTTGTTACAAATATATGCTGCATATACACGGTAATATCAGGACAGTAACATAATGTAAGATGAGAGTAACAAAGTTATGCTAAATTTATATACATATAATAGTAACAAATGTTATGGAATCTGTTAGCTCCATGTTACATAACTGTTAAGTTCCTGCATTGTAACAAATGTCACGTAACTAGTTAGCTCTATGTTACGTAACTGTTAGGTTATTATATTGTAACACGTCTTTTTTGTGTTCTAATAATAACCCAAGTTCCGGAAATTTTATTTTTACAGATTATTACTCTTTACATCGATCTGCGTGTGTAATTATTTAGATGATTTATGTAACCCTTTTCTGAACTGTTAGTGCGTTACTCTTTCAGGTCATTATTAACATTTTAAGTGAAATATAAATAATGCAAATAATACGAAAATATGATTATACTCAAAATTATCAGGACTGAATGTATGATGGGATCTCGTGGGAGAATAATTGAGAACAATTAATAATGTTTAATTATCTTCTTTAATTAGGAAGTTAGACTCCGAACACTCGTGGTACCCGCGCACCGATTTTTTTATTTAAGAATAATAATATTTTTTCTTATATTAATTCTCAGTCTAGTTTTTACTAATAAGAAATTTATTTCTATTTTTAATATTGCAATAGTAGTTAGGACTTCTTCAATTTCTTTACGACTTGGAATGGGAGGGGGGAATATACAGAATTATCATATTTCATTACTGACGTCAAGAGAGAGAAAGAGAGATCATTCATATCCTACGACCAATCGTTAAAATGATATAGGATGTAATGTCTCTGTACCGGGTAATGGCTTAATTTGAGTCTGCAGTTGACGTGGGAGGAAATCTCTACACTTATCCAATTATAATAATGAGATTTAGTTGAATTTGCAGTAGCTGATGGGGTTCATTAAGTGTACATGTCGCTGAAATTCGATTATTACTTGCTACTAATTCGTAAGAAGGAGATTATGCAAACTAAAGGGACGGAATTTGCAATACATACAAAGAACTTGCATTTAAGAGCAGAACTTTTTTTAAGAAATTTGATATTTCTCACATTTAATAA